TTATTCATTGAGCTAAACTATCTGACCCGATGCAAGAGATAGATTCAACACCACGTGGTATAGCTGTATACATGGCAGGAGATAAGGTTTATGATCCTGTAGTTGAGTCAGAAGAAGAACAAGTGTTCTTATTGTAAGATTTCCCTTCCTTTGAGTAGGGATGGATTATTGTTCTGAGGACAACCGAAAATTAAAGCGGTTGTAAAGGCTGAAGGTTTTTTAACCTCATGAATTCTATGCATGAACGTAAAAAACCTTCTGTGTGAAGCAGTTCCCACAGCCCCTCAATACTTACCTGAGCCTCATCGTGATGCAGCAATGTGAATGACAGCCTCGCTGTCCCGGGTCTCTGCCTCCTCATTGGCTGAGACAGCAAGCGGGAGCCATCAGCTCCTACTGATGTCAATCACAGCCAGTCAGCCAATGTGGAGAGAGAGGGGGCATGATTGTACACAGGTTCGCTTTAGAGAACGGCAGAGTATAGGCATACCACTGACTGCAAACAGCTTACTATATGTCAGAAAATGTCTGAGGTCAAGGGACTTATTCAGTAAAGCAAATCTCAGTGTACTATTGGCAGTTCAGTAAAAAGAATACATCTGATTGGCTGAAATAGTTAACTACCATTAGCCGTAGTCAGGGCACTTTTCACTAATACTTGCTTCCATAATTTCTTCTTTTTTCAGAAACCATAAAAACTGTTTGTGAAATGAACACTTGCTGAGGGAAAACATGGATTGAGTTCAGTTTAATGGTTATTTATTTATTTATTACAAGTACTTATATAGTGCTGTCAATTTATGCAGCACTTTACATATTTATTATACATTCACATCAGTCTAATAAGGTTTGTTTCAAAATTAGGGAAATGTTGGCCCAGTAGCAGTAATCTTTCATTTACTGAGATGCATTGAAGGCTTATTTAACCACTTCAATACTGGGCACTTATACCCCCTTCCTGCCCAGGCCAATTTTCATCTTTCAGCGCTGTTGCACTTTGAATGAGAATTGCACGGTCATGCAACACTGTACCCATATGAAATATTTATCATTTTTTTCACACAAATAGAGCTTTCTTTTGGTGGTATTTAATCACCACTGAGTTTTTTTTTTTTTTTTGCTAAATAAAACAAAAAACACCTGAAACTTTTGAAAAAAAACACTTTTCTTTGTTTCTGTTATAAAATTTTGCAAATAAATAACATTTCTTCATAAATTTAGGTCAAAATGTATTCTGCTACATTTCTTTGGTGAAAATAATAATAATAAATGAATTTGTATTATTGTTTCAAATGTTTCTATTTTTTTATTTTTTATTATTTTTTTACTATTTTATTTTTCAGCACAGTGACCAAAGCAATACAATGTTACCATAGTAACATTGAACTATTCTGGGCAAGTGATCAGGATTTTTTTTAATACATTATGATTGCTAATACCAATGTATTTCATTGATATTTGCAATCATTGTTACTGAATGAAACTGATTCATTCAGTCTTTTGTTGTGATTAGCTGTGATTGAGCAAAGCTGATCACGTTATACAGCTGGGCTGTGATTAGCCCTGTCTGTATCATGTGACTTGACCAGTCACAGCTAACAACATAATTGTATACAATGGATGACATAACAGGAAGCCATCCATTGTATACAATTGACATATGATCTACTGTGATTGGTCACAGCGGTCACATGACACTGGCAACGGGCTGGTGTAGTGATATGTCATTGACTGTGTCCCATGGACACAGCCGGTGACAGATCGCGCAGGTGCGCGGCCATGTCAGAGGCTTGTTTTGACAGGACGTCATATGACGCCCAGTCACAATGGCAAGTGTCCCGCTCTGCCGTCAATCTGCTATAGGCCCGGGAGGGAAGGTGTTGAATTGAATAGGTTGCCTTAACACAATGCATGTCATTGCACAGAATCCCATACATTACATGCACACATTATGGTGTGAATGAGTCCTTGAAGTTAAATCAATATTAATGGCTATTTTTAAAAATAACAAACATACTTACCTGTTTTGTGCAGTGGTTTTACACAGAACAGCCCAATCCTCCTCTTCTTGGGTCCCCCGCCTGTGGCCCTGGCCCCTCCCCCCTGCCAAGTGCCCCCAGAGCAAGCAGCTCGTTCCTGAGCAGCTGCTCTGCGTGTCCATTCACACACACAACCGCTGCTTAGCCCCAACTTCTTTCTCTCCTCATTAGCTCACTGGCTGTGATTGACAGCCTGTCTCAGCCCATGAGGAGGGAGAGCCGAGGATCTTGTGTACATCGCTGGATCATGATGGGGCTCAGCTAAGCATTAAGGATTGGGGGGCGGGGATGCTGCACACAGAAGGCTTTTGAGCCTTTTCAACCACTTTAATGAAGATTAAATGAGGACTATTTAGTACATCCTAGATGTAATCTAAGGATGCTGTTAATTTCACAGCAGCAACTTCTACATCAGTTACAGCTATTTTCACTTTGCAAACAGTTCCAAGGCAATTTACTTTCTCTTGTTCACATGGGTAAATACACATTTTAGATATAAGCAAGATTAGAAAGATGGAATCCTAAAAAAACATTAAATATTGTTTTATTGCTTATCATTATATTCCTCTATGTTTGTTGGACACACTTCTTGTGGTTTCTGCAGTTCTAGTAAAATAATACATTTAGTGTAAACATATAGCACTTAATTATAATTTCTGCTTTCTGAGAGAAAGTGAAAAACTCATTCACATGCCCCCCTTTTGAATCTCTGCCAATATATTGTTTAAACAGTGCTTCTAAGCTGCTTTGAGGCTGCCCCCACTTGAAGATCTACTTGACTTTCTTTGGCATGTTCTGAGGCTAGGCAGCATTATAGTAATGAAGCCAAGAAGCTGTTAGTTGTGGTAACATTGGCAGTGCAGTTTCAACAGTTGCTGGGTGGGGAGTCCAACAGGTTGGGGCTAGATTTTGGTTCTACCACTTGTTATGTTCTTTACTCAGATATGATTTCTTTAATGCAAACCAGTATATTTCCATTTCAGATAAAACCAACAGGTTTGCTATAATGAGCCCCTTCCCCAGAAATATCTATTCATCTTCACTTTGCACCCTTGCTGCTCCATCTGTCCTCGGGTAGTGAGAAAAAGAAGGCATGTGTGGTCTGAACAGGGGTGGACTGACAACTCATGGGGCCCCCGGGCAATAGGGGATCATGGGGCCCCTGTGTCCTTGCCCAAACTCAAAAAAAGCCTATTAAAAAGGTACCAGGGGCATCTCATGGGGCCCCCTATTGACCCCGGGCCCTCGGGCAGTGCCTGAGTTTCCAAATGGTCAGTCCGCCCCTGAGTCTGAGGTTAAACAAGGCTGAAGAATCTCTCCCTGCCCCATGTGACAGTTCAAGGCCAATCACTAGGCACCCTGCTGAAAGCAAGAGGCGTGAATCTCATGCTCAGATGTTTTCTTCACTCCCAGTGACCGCATGGGCAATGGGGGAAGTGCAGGAAAAGTTTGCATATGGTACTCGGAAATGGGGCAATTAGGTAAACCTGATGCTTTTTCTTTCATAGAAAACAAAGGTTTGCTTTGAGCCAATTGATAATTCATTCTATATGCACAAAACCTGATTTAGAGACCCTATGGTATTGGTTTACTAAACTAACCAACTAAGCAATTGAACCTCCTTTGACTTTGAACCTGACCTGCACATAATGTATGAGGAAGGCTGTGATAGCCATATGAGACCAGTACAGGTTTGATTCCTTTTGTCTGAAATTAATTCACTTAGTAAGTCACCTCCAGTATCTTCTTGGAATCACAGAACACAAGTGTGGTTAACCGCTTCCCGTCCGCCCTATAGCAGATATACTGCTACAGGGTGGCACGGGTGCACAAAATCACATATATATATACGTGGTTTAACAATAGGGGGTGTGCGCGCCTTACCCACACTGCCATGCGCTGCCACCAGAATCCCCATTACTCGCCGGCACCCAGTGACTGCCGAGGATCTCCAACGAGGGGGGGAGAACTGTATGTAAACAATATAATTCATCTCTCTGTCAGCTTGTGCACACTGCTTTGAATGGCTGTGCCCAGCCATGCAAAGCAGTGTGCTTACAGTGAAGAACACAGACACAGCCCCATAGTAAAACACACACAGCACAAAGTTAACCTTTTGATCACCCCAGATGTTAACCCCTTTTTGCCCAGTGCCATTAGTACAGTGTCAGTGTCAGTGTTTTTATTAGCACTGATCACTGTATTGGTGTCACTGGGGATGTCAATTTCACCAAGCCAGTTCCCCCCAGTTTCAGAATGCCAGCCGCAGTCTTGCTATAAGTCGCTGATCTCCGCCATTACTAGTAAAAATTAAAAAAAAAAATCCCAATATATATACCATCATTTGTAAATGCTATAACTTTCACGTAAACCAATTAATTTACACGTATTGGTATTTTGTTTAGCAAAGATGTTGCACAATACATTTTGACCTAAATTTATGAAAAAATTAGATTTTTTTTTTATTTTTTTACTGGACATGTTTAACCACTAGCGTACTGGGCACTTATACCCCCTTCCTGCCCAGGCCAATTTTCAGCTTTCAGTGCTGTCGCACTTTGAATGACAATTGCGTGGTCATGCAACACTGTACCCATATGAAATTGTTATCATTTTTTTTAGATAGATAGAGCTTTCTTTTAGTGGTATTTAATCACCTCTGGGTTTTTTTATTTTTTGCTAAAAAACCAAAAACAACTGAAAATTTTGAAAAAAAGAGTTTTTTTCTTAGTTTGTGTTTTAAAATTTTGTAAATAAGTGATTTTTCTCCTTCACTGATATGTGCTAATGAGGCTGCACTGATGGGCACTGATAGGTGGTACTGATGGGCACTGATGAGGAGGCACTGGTAGGTGGCACTGATGGGCATTGACAGGTTTCACTGATGGGCACTGAAAGTCAGCACTCATATATGGCACTGATAGGCGGTACTGACTGGCACTGATAGGTGGCCCTGACTGGCACTGTTAGGTGGCACTGATAGGCAGCACTGACTGGCACCGATAGGCACTGGCTGGCAGCACTGATGGTGGCACTGACTGGCATTGATAGGTGGTACTGACTGGCACTGATAGGTGACACTGAAAGGCAGCTCAGTAGGCACTGATATTTGGCATTGACGAGGCACTGATGTGCACTGTCAGGTGGCATTGATGGACACTGACAGGAGGCACTGCTGGGGCTACACTGATCATCAGGGCACACTGATGATCAGTGCCCTGATGATCAGTGCACATGTCCCCTCCAAGGAATGCCGATTACCGGCTCTCCTCTCCTCTCGACTGTCAGCGTGACAGCTTGTGATGAGAGAAAATGCCGATAACCGGCATTTCCCTATTTACATGAGATCAGCTGTGATTGGACACAGCTGATCACATGACCGAGCTGAAATCTTTGTCTCTTTCCGTTGATCGGTGATCCACTGTGTCCGAGGGACCACCGATCGCCGTGCTGCACGCTCCCAGACCCGCGCATGCGCGGTTAGAATGGGAGGACGTCATATGACATCCTCCCAGAACGAGAGAACCACCTTGTGTCCGTCATTGCCTTATATGGTGGGTGGGAGGTGGTTAATAGCAAAAAGTAAAAAATATTGTTTTTTCTAAAAAAAAATTGTTATAGCGCAAAAAATAAAAGCACAGGTGATCAAATACCACCGAATGAAAGCCCTATTTGTGGGAAAAAAAGGATGTAAATTTCATTTGGGTGCAGCGTTGCATGACCGCACAATTTTCAGTTAATACAGCGCCGTAACGCAAAAAATGGCCTGGTCAGGAAGGGGGGTAAATCCTCTGGAGGGCAAGTGGTTAAGTTAGGCTTTAATAAAATGGTGTCCTATTTACAGATTTAGGTTTTACTTCCTTTTAAAATATAAAAATTTAAATATATCAAAAATGTGTTTTTATACTATGTAATTATCTAAGTAAACAATAAGTACCGGTAATTTAAAGTTTTACTAAATTGTTGATGTGATTTCAATACCATAAAATTAAAAATTTAAACCTCCCTCTTCTGCCCATCAGATTCACCCATGCGCCACAGAAAGCTAATAAATTTAAACCCCCTCTGCAATATCATTTCATGGGTATACACTTATCTTATGGTTTGCTTAGTTTTACACAGGCAAATTAATTTGTGCTATCCACCAAAAGCAAAGCTCAAGGCTCAATAATTTTATTTCTCAGCACCAGAACTTGTTTTGTAGTCTTGAATTAGGTAGGGAAGGATTAGAACCCCTACCAAGGGATAAATGACTCACCACCCTCTCTGTTTGTGCAGATGACAATCTTCACCAAGGCAGAAATTTAAGGAAAATTGAAAGAGTTTTTACTGGAAACAGAAGATACAGTTTCCATTTTGGGGACCTGTTTCAGTGATTGTTGTCTTAGATGAGGATTCCTCTCACTTTCTTTTGTGTCTTGGGGAAAGGAAGTTAAGGGAAAATCACTGCTCCATCCTTTCACTACTCTTTAGGCTTTACATACACTTAAATAAAGTAGCTGCAACTGTCACCATAGGTGGTTGTAGTACAAATGCTTCCATTGTCTGTATGCAATCTAGTCATTCTCTCAGCAGCTCTGGATGGATTAATTTCTCTACAGTGCCTGCAGCTCCAAAGGTCAGTGATAACTGACAACAGAAGGCATGCCGGAGAATTGCCTATTATTCTTTATGGTTGGTGCAAACACACCATATGTGAATGCAGAAGATTATGTGTGCCTGAGATCTTTGATTATATTGAACATATAATATATTAAATATTTTTATTAGAAGTGTGAGGGGTGAGTATTCTAGGTGCCTTTTTGTTTACAGGGTAACTAGTCTTTAATATCTGTGTTTACATTTTTGTATTAAAAGCAAAAAACAAAACAAATGTCCATTTTCCAGACACAACACTCCGCCCTTAAACATTACCTAACATCGTCAGATGAAGTCCAAATTCAGGCGTATTGATCGATAAGCTTCATAAAGACATATAGTTTGCCATCCAAATTCTGCTGTGAATACAGTATTTCCTGAATTAACAGAATGTACTTCTTTAAATGGTCTAAAGCACTGTTTCAGACCTGGCAGACATAACGCTTTTAAGTCTTCAGGTACCTGGTATGTGTCTCCCTCAGTATAGCTCTGATGAATAGCCTGATTGATTGACAGATAGATAGATAAATAGATAGACAGACAGATAGATAGATAGATAGATAGATAGATAGATTGATAGATTAAATAAATAAATAAATATATATAAATCCCAGGGGGTGATTTACTGATGGTAAATCAACGGTTGAGTTTACAAGGGAATTTGAATTTTTCAAGGGACTTTACCCTTAGCTTAGTGAATGAGTTGAAGCTCTACTGACTTCCATCATCCAGCAATGTTCAAACAGAAGTACATTTTTTTTTTACCTTGCACATGAATTAATAAACCATCCCCACAGTGTCTTATATATGAATGGCATACAGTTTCACCTGTCCAGGCTGGCTTTGTGCATGAATCTGAAGGCACCTTGATTCTGCAGCTTCCAATAGTAAGTCAAATAGCTCCACTGAAATTAGTGCCATAGACCAATGTTCACCTCCAGGTACACGTAGAAAATCAGACATATCATGTAACTAAGCCAAAATCGCTGTGGGCTAATCACTAGTATTCAAGACTTAGTCAGTAAGAAAACAACAATCATGTGCAAGCTCAAATGCTAAACATTGATGCACATGCTGGAGACCCGTGCACAGGCTGGGATGTCCAGATTCACACATAGTATATCCAAGTCAGTCCACCCAGTATACCCTTGATATTCTTTATTAGCTACATATGTAAAAAAAAAACTAACACATTTCGGCTATCACAGCCTTCCTCATACCCATTTGAGGAATGAGGAAGGCTGTGACAGCCATATGAGGCTATGAGGAAGGCTGTGACAGACATATGAGGCTATGAGGAAGGCTCTGATAGCCATATGAAGCTATGAGGAAGGCTGTGATAGTCATATGAGGCTATGAGGAAGGCTGTGATAGCCATATGAGGTTATGAGGAAGGCTGTGACAGCCATATGAGGCTATGAGGAAGGCTGTGACAGCCATACGAGGCTATGAGGAAGGCTGTGATAGCCATATGAGGCTATGAGGAAGGCTGTGACAGCTATTTGAGGAATGAGGAAGGCTGTGACAGTCATATGAGGCTATGAGGAAGGCTGTGACAGCCATATGAGGCTATGAGGAAGGCTGTGACAGCCATATGAGGCTATGAGGAAGGCTGTGACAGCCATATGAGACTATGAGGAAGGCTGTGACAGCCATATGAGACTATGAGGAAGGCTGTGATAGCCAAACCATGTTAGATTTTTTTACACTGTATTTATGTTATGTATCCTATAAAGAATATCAAGAGGATCATACTGGTGGCCAGCTCTTTTTTGTCTTAGTTAATGTCACGAGATGAGCCAAATAACACCTAAGTGTATTCACGAGGGCTGCCACTGACTCGGTCTCTAATACGCTTTCATCGCCCAAAACACAGGACATGATATAAAAACAGTTCCAAGGAATATGCAAAAGATGGCTGCTGCCTCATGTGTCCCAACCAAAATCTGTGGGTTTTGTTTGTTGCCACCTAAACTTTACATTATCAAGAATAAAGAAAACCTACACAAATATTTTGACTGTGAGTCTGTAATACAGGTGCCTAGTCCTGCAAAATATGTCCCTACTAGGACCGTTAAATTCCTTTGCTGATTTAAAATGCTTGTGGCATTGAACTCATGCTGGGTGGTACTGTAGTTATATGGGTCAGCTTAAGGTTAAGTGTATATTACTTCCCTGGGAAGAAAGTTAAAAGTTGTGTTAAGTGATTACTGGCAGGGTTAAATTTATTTTCGGCTATTAATTTAATGAGAAGCGTGATTTCATTCCATATAGGGAGGTCATTTTATACAGCAAAAAAAAGCAGATTGTTTCAATAGCTCAATTTAGGCACGATCTTTCAGGCTTCAGATAAAAGGAGAGATGTTTATATAGTTTCTGCTCCTGGAGTAAGCTTGTGATTGGGAGCACTTGTTACCATAATAAGAATAAAGGCAAGCGGCATGTGAAAGAGCAGTATCCTGCTGGGTTTAAATGCTTTTCCATCAAAGAATGCCCTTGCACACAGGATTGCTTATATATTGCTAGAAGAGTGTTGTTCTTTCTCATTGGCAGGATCTCTTTCAGTGTAAGTCATGTCTCTGGAAAATGCCAAATTGAAATAATAACCATTCCTCCAAGGTAACCATAGGCCTTTTGACTCCGCGGTAGTGAAAATACCCAGAGTGTTTTGTGGTTTAAGCTTTGGTCAGATAGGGCATCTGTTCTCAAGCCAAGTATGTGCAGGACCTTTTAAGACTAGGATTATTTTAATTGAAATGGACATTTTGTATAACCAGATTTGAAATATGTGCTGTGTGTCTTGTGATGTATGATTTGCTCTTTTTGCTTCTGCAGTGTGATCTAACACAAAAGTCCTAAATTAAGGCTAGTTTACAATAGCATTAGCCCCGTGAAGAGCCATCTGTGGTGGATTGCTTTAAGAGGGCATTTGATGAGACACGAAGAGGCATTGTGTCACCTCCTCACCGCCTATTTTAACCAGTTGCCGCCTGGCCTATAGCCAGATGGCGGCCGGTCGAACAGCTCGTCCATCCTCGTGGACGCCATATGGTGTCCTTTCTGGAACGCGCATTGTGCATGCCCGCAGGGCCGCGCTGTAGCAAGATCTGTCACCGGCTATGTACCTCGGACACGGCCGATGACAGATCTGTGTACCGCCCCGTTGCCAGTACCTTGTGACCTGCTGTGACCAATCAGTTGTATACAATGGATGGCTTCCTTTCATGCCATCCATTGTATACAAGTGTGTCTAGCTGTGAATGGTCACAGCGATCACATGCACAAGCTGGGCCAATCACAGCCCAGCTGTGTCATGTGATTAGCCGTGGCCAAATCACAGCTAATCACAAAAAAAAAAACCCTAAATGAATCGATTTCATTCAGGTAAATGCTTGCTTACAGCAAAATAATTCTTTGCTATAAACAAATTGTGTAAAAAAAAAAAAAAAAAAAAAAATACTGATCACTTCCCCAAAGTAGTGCAATGTTACTATGGTAACATTATACTACTATGGTGCAATATGAAGAAAAACAATCTTAAAAAAAGAGAAAAAAATGTAATAAAAAATTTAAAATAATAAAAAATTGAAAAATAATTATCAATTTTTTTTTTGTACTGTCACCAAAATCATTCGTAAAAAAAAAAAAAAAAAAAGGGAACAGACATCAGTGTCCCTGATCACCTCCATGCCAGTTATATGATGATGCTGTACTGCACTGGTGACAGTATGTAAAAAACAATCG